AACACTGAGGTGTGTTGGTTTACTATGGTTTGGAATGGAGGGAGACCACGTTGGTCAGTTTTTGGTGCCATGCTTCTTCAAAATGCTGTCCTAACTCATACTAATTTACAGAGGAGGGGAATTTCTTTAGCTTCTATTTGCTGCCTTTGTGGTAGAAATTTGGAATGTGTGGATCACCTGTTTGTTACTTGTGTTTACTCTTGGGAAGTTTGGTGCTGTTTGGCTGCATTATTTCAGTGGAAGGTCCAGAAATTACATAACATGGAAGCTTTTGATGCTGATCTGAAGCAACAGTTTACCTCCAATTCATGTAAGAACAAGGTTTTTCAAAATGATTTTTACAGCTACTATCTATTATTTATGGAATGAAAGGAATGGAAGAAGGCACAATGATATTTTTAGATTTCCTTCCATTTTGTTGAAATGTATTGTTTGGGATATTTTAGATATTGCAAGGGTCAACTTTCAAGATTTACTAGGTTAGATAGGAGATTTTAGGGTACTTTCTGTAGTACTCTTGTCTTCTAGGGGTGTGATTCAGTGATCTCACTTCTTCTCTTGTACTTTATTCTTTTTTATCTATAAAATTTTCTTCATTTTGTTAAAAAAAAAAAAAAAAAATCTAAAGAGATGTCAAAATGTTACATTTGGCTTCAATGCCAAGTGCTATTCAACATTAGCATTAGAATATATATATATATATGGAAACAGCTAGTGCTATATCATAACGAATCTTAAGGACATGTTTGGAGAGGTAAGTAAACCTGTAAAGCAATTAGATATGAAAAATATGATAAATACGAAGATGGTTCTAGGATCTCCATTTCCGGAACATGTTTTAAAAATAATATCATTTCTAAACGTACTAGAAATCCTATGAGGCGGACTTGATGGTGAATCATAGGTTGATATCATATTCTAGTCGCTACCAGATTCGTTTAATCATTTTTGATTAAATTATAACATGAATGAATTGGATTTTACTCAAGCTCAACTTCTGAATGAGTTACAGGTAGTGAAGAGTATGATAGGAGCTAAAGGTCGTGCGAACTTAACTTAAGCTATTACTGTGGATAGAAGAATAGATAAAAAGACATACGCACATGACTATAGATATATCATGAAAAGAAAAGCATATCAAAGTATAGCTATGTAGTGAAAAAGATAAACAGGCATCCAAACAAGTAGCCACAGTGCCCAAAAATAAAACCAAATAGTTTTCTTGAAAGCATTGCAGCATTGTTCACTATGGAACATGTCTAGATTTGAAGCTTACAGAATCTTCTTGCTCATCTCTTCCTCTGTTCTCTTTCACTTGGAAGCCAAGAAAAAATTTAAAGCAAAAAAAAGCTTCAAATTCAACCTAACTTCACTGAGGTAATATGACAAACATTTGGCATCCACTATTTTCAAACCATTTCAATAAAGTTTGCCCTTGTTGATTCAAACCCCAAAAATGAATAAACAAGGTTCACACACCAAAGATAGCAAGAATATAGCAATTACAATACACCAATAGCTCCTAATCTCCACAAAATCTGGATACAAACTAAAAACTTCCCAAATTTTTTTCCAAACTCTTTGTACATCTCATGCAATGATTAATCCCATGAGCTGAAGATCAAAACGTGATTAAAGGAGGATTAAATGAAGTTTTAAAACCAATTACTTTGAAATATTCGAATTTGGGCAATGGAGCATGGAATGGGGTCTGAAGTGCTCTATCACGAGGTTGGAGAAATGTCCAAAATGAGCCTCTGGCACGTGCACAAGAAGACTTGAGTGCGCTGGAGCAAGCAAGTACAACCGGTTGCATTTTTGCTAACTGCAAATTTCTCAAATGCCTCCAAAGCTCAAATATGGGTTATGAACCACTTCCAAAAAGACAAAAATACCCTACTAAGCCAAAAGAATCTAAAAACCTAGAAAATCAAAGTCTTTTTGAATTAATCTTGATTTTTCAGTGTTTTTTTTTTTTTTTTTTTTCATTTTTGAGAAAAAAAAAAAGAACAACTAGAGATATGAGCAAACAATTATCAATAATTCAAAGCACACATGTAGTCCAAAAATCTCTCAGAGATTTAGAATACTTTCAAAATACAAAATTTTAGGTTCAAATTACTCTTTTATCCAATTTTTGATTAATTTAAATTTACCTAAATAAAAGTAAATCAAACACTCACAAAGCAAATATAAATTGCAAATAAATTAAAAAGTGAGTTTAGAGCGACACAAGATTTTTAGTGAGGAAACCCTGATTAGTAGAAGAAACCAATAATTTTGGGAAAACCTCAACAACTTACATCGTCCCAAGCAAAAAGATCCACTATGTATTAAATAAAGTATAGTCGACTCTAACTTAGGCTCATACCCTATCACTATACCAAAAACCAATTGCTGACAATTTTTGTTGAAAAATTGTAATGATTTACCTTCATTACATTTGCATGGGTGGTGGAAAGTGGGTTTTAACACTTTTATAGAGTCTCTTCAATCATGCATGAAGTGTGGCCAAGGGCCAAACGGTCTTTTGAACCTATTTTATAATTTTTTAGTTTCAAGTTTCTCTTTTAAAAGCTACTTTTGACAAAATTTGAGGTTTAATAGGTGATATTTTGTATTTAGCGACCATTGAGCCCGTAGGTCAATGGAACACGTGTAAATATATATATTACATTTGCGTGAATGCTTACCTTGCACAAAATATCACATTTGTAGGAAATGGATACTCGTTGGTCTCAAGTTTTCCATTTAAGGCATTTTCTTCGCATTATGAGGTTCGGATAGATCATATTTTGCATCGGGCATTTTTGGAAGCCGCAGACCATTCCCGCGCCCTTAAAATCACTAAATACATTTGCGTGCATGATCGTTTTAGCACACAACATCATTTAGGGTCAAATGAACACTTGGTGCAAAGTTGTTTATTGTTTTTCATCGTTTTTGACCTAATCTGATCTGGTGGCATTTTGGGAATTTTTTTTGAAAAATAAATTCCGGCCTTGATATGGTCACATAGAAAACATGATTTTAGGGGAGGTTTTTTCACAACATTTTTCCAGAAAATGCCGTCTCGGTCTCGAAAATCCCTCGTCAAATCTGATTTTCTATGTGTATATGCACTTTTTGAAAAAGTTTGTTATAAGAGCATTTTGGAGATTTCACGTCAAAAACAAAAAAAAATTTTGACATGGTCAGCTTGGAAAAATTATTTTGAGTGGGGTTTTTCTTCGTGTTTCTCCAAAAACTATCATTTAGTACCTCAAAACGGCACACGAACTTCAATATTTTGCCCAGGTCACTATTCATTGCTGTCCACGTACTATTCACAGCCGCGGCGACGTCAAAACTTTGTTTTCACTTTTCTCTTTCATCCGAACTCCGAATCAAGTGATTTTTGAGTCTAAATTGATTAATTTTTCATTGTCTATCTAATGGTATAGTTGATGGCATCCAAATCTTGTTAAAATTACTATTTTACCCTTGGGGGCTTCTTTTGATCTTTTTCTGACTTTTTATTCCGCGTCGGTTCTCGTGGAGTTCCGTGGCCTCATGGAAGGTCACTTTAGAGTCCTAGGGATGTTGTATATCCTTAGAGACCTTGTTTATATTTTTGCTTTCGCATTTCGAATCCGTTATCGGGTCAAACTTCGGTTCATCACAGGACGCACTGGCTTGAAAAACCAGGGCCCTCACACACACACACACACACACATATATATATATATAACTATGTTAAGACTTTTTGGCTGTCCGCCACGCTTATTATATATCTCTAAGTATCTATATTCAAATCAATTGTTGGGATAAGGGTGAAATTATTTATAATGTCTGTGAAGTTATTCGCAGCAACTAAAATATATACATGTGCCATATGATTCAGTTTTTACTTTGATTACAGTTTTACTAATACATTTCCTTCATCTCTTTTGTTATTAGTCTCATCTTTATTTATCTCTGTTTGCTATCTGATTGTGGATTTAACTCTGTGATTCAATTTGAAATGGGAGGAACATAGGCAGTGATCGTTAATAAGAATGTTTACTTTAAAAATCAAACCATGCACTTAAATGTAATTATTACCACCGAGTCACTTGTTATTAGTTATAATTATGATACGGCGCATAGAACAGTTTCAAGCTCATGGGCAAGGAAATAGAGTTTACCTGGGCACGAGTCCAAATCTCGAACAATTTTTACAGGTAATCAAATAAAGTACAAAATTAATTATATGATTACCTATGGAATTTTATTATACATAGTCTTTTAATTAAATTGTTATATACACCATAGTGATCATGGTACTTCATTCTTAATATTATGTTTTATATCTTGATACATGTCACACATGATAAAGGCTTGATTATGTTGCCTAGGCACAATTAATTTTAATGAGATCCATTTTATGGATATTGAGATTAAATTCAACGTCTTTGGGACTGCATTCAATTTATGATAACTTGAAAATTGAATATCTCTCGGTGAAAGACTCACTTACTTAATGGTAAAAAAATAAAAAATAAAAAATAAAAATTCGGTATTGTGATCCTTCTAAAAAGCTCAGTATGAATGGATGCAAGTACGATTGTAGAATTATGAAATTATTGGCGGATATAATTCGGTTTTATTTATAATCAGCTAGATTGAGATGATGCGGATAAATAATTATTCATCAGTATATGTGACAATAATATCACTTATCACGTCAAGGGCGTAGTTTTATGAAATATTTGATGTGGAGAAAATATTACTGAAGGTTGACAAAGTGATAATCCAATGATCATGCTGAATGCAGCTGATATCAGGTTAGATTATATATATTGTGAAATATATATAATTACTGAAGGTCATATATTGTGAAATATTTGCGTGGAATTATAAGGGGCAGAACAAATTAGGGAATCACCAGCACTTTTTTTAAAAAAGCTGGTGTTGTCCAGTGTTTAGTTACTGAACGAAACGCTGATAAGTGCGAAATTTGGCGCGGCAAAATTTCGCCCTCTAAAATTATTTCACTTTACTATTTGCTTAATTTATCATTTGTTTCCAACTTTACCAATCTCATCCGACATTACAAAAAATCAGAAGTTCAAAACCTATTACTTATATCAAAACCCATATCGGCATATCATTTTAGATTGTTCAAAAAATCAAAACCCATATCTTTCAGTTTCCATCGCCCGCTGTTCCAGTTCGGGTTCGCCGTTCGTAAGCCTCAGCCGCTGGCCCGCTGTCTCTCAACTCTCAAGCTTGCCCCCCTCTCTCGTCGTTAAATAACCTCCTGATTTCTTGTTTCAAAGTTGAGGGATTCACCGGAAACACAACTGATCGATACATGGCGCGCGCACATATACATACTTATATATATATATACACACGTCTATCTCATTTTCAGGGAGATTGCGATGGACCATTCCATTATGTAGCTTCTTGAAGAGGACGAGGTTACGTTTCTCTCTCTTACTGCACGATACATGTTTGAATATGTTCACATATATATATGGCTGAAATTTATTGGATTTATAAAAAAAGGAATTGTTGGGATAGTAAAATCGAAGTTATCATCATCTGATACGTTTACAGGACGAAACTATGCATTCTGGGGCGGATGTGGAGGCGTTCACTGTTGCTTTAAACAGGGACATTGAGGGCCACACCTCCACTTCTCAACCCTCTGATTCAGGCGTTTACAGGCATCTCTACAAGCTTTGGATTAAGGACGAGGTTCTATTTTTTATTTTCTGTAATTTTTTTATAATTTGATTATGGCCGCTCCCCCCATTGATTGATGAGAGATGTAAAGGAAGTAATACTTTGGATCATATATATGTGTATGTACATATATTGTTTCGATATGCACAGGAAATTTGGGAAAAAAATTGTTCTGATTTTGAATCTGATTTAATGTTTTTTCATTTTATCATGTTTTTTCATTTTTTTTAATCCTGTTTTTTCCCCTCCCACGAGGGAGGAAGAATAAGACAACTAGTTGTTGCATTCAAGAATTTGTCTATATATATATTTTTGTTCTGTACTCAAAATTTTCACAACTTTCCCGCCTACAAATAGGAATCCAATTACATTTTCTGTATCATGTGCTTTCTGTTTCTTAATCTTTTAATTGTACAGTGTCAAAATAATCTGAATTTTATTTTACTAGCTGAGTATTATATCATAAATATACATTTTACTTTCCTTTTATAAGGGAATTGTAATTATATTTTGTATCACTTTAGCCACGGTTATTAATTTTTTTGCATCAATTCTGTGTATCATCCTTCTCACGTTGAGTTTATCAGTTAAAGCATTAGTATTGCTGGGGTCTCTGTTTATTTTGAATGGTAAGTACAAGTCATGATACTTAGATGAGTTATTGCCATTTCATTTTTACAGAGGAATTTCAGTAGACAGAAATTAAGGATATTTATATTGATACATTCAATCGAGTCCCATTTATCTTCATCCATCAACTGCCTTGAATGAAAGCCTACCTTATTTTGAAAACGGATTAGAAATGGGCTTACACACATCCAGTGGAATATTCTGACCATCTATTCTCCACCCATCTTCCTTTGACCATGAAGCTGGAGAACAGCTGCTTGAAAACAGACTCAGCTTATCTGTCTTGCTGAGTTTGTGGATCGCTTTATATGTTGAATGCCTCAATTAGATGGCTTGAAAATAGTCATACCCGTAAAATTATTTCATGCTATTATCATGACTGATTGAAGATTCTGGTTTTAGTTATAATTTTTGTTATTGTTGTTTGTTCTTCGATTGCAGGCTCTCTCAAAAGCTTTAAGCCTATAACAGAGGATGAGTTGGTTTATCTTAGAGCTCAGTTTATGCTTTTGGACCCTAACAAAGATGGACATGTCTCGCTTGATAATTTCAAATACTTCCCTTTCTTTCTATTTGATCCTTAAATTGAAGTTGATTATGATTTCAGGGAATGATTGTTCTAATTATGGAGATGACATGATCATGTGATAAAAGAAATTATGTTCTGTGTTAGCCAGTTTTCTTATCCTCATTCCTTCCTATAAAGTCAAATTTATGGTCAAACGAGAACTGAAAACAAATTTGCAGGCTCTTGTGCGAAATGCAACTGACGCAATGAAGGAGTCAAGGATTCCTGATATTCTCAATGCGGTGAGGACTTTGGGATCATTATTGCTCAGTGAAAAAGTATATGATCATTGTATCTGATATTTATTCTGGTGTTTATGATATTTTTGCATGTTTAAATGCTTATAAAATGAGTAGTTCCTTGCGAAATAACCATTTTTGCTTGATTTTCTTGCTTGGTAACATGTTTATTTAATGATAAACAATCTTTAAGCTAAATTAATACCTGTTACTTAACTACAACTTCAGTTAGGTACTTCGTATAAGTTGGAACATGTCCAGGGTTATCTGCAGCAATCAAATAATCTATAGACTTTTTTTTATCCTATAAGTGCTTTTTGTCTTGTGAATCCTGAATATTACACTGAATTATTTTCTTCTTTTTTCAAGTTTAAAATTAACATTGCTTTTCCTGACTCTGGTGCTTGTCTTTTATTTAAAAGTAGGAGAGGATGCCACTTGAGTTAAGCCCTCTGTTGGACAAAATAATTGAATGTTCTCTCTAATATTGTTCTCTCACCCATAAAAATAAGCTTCACAACATGCAATTAAGTTCGAAATTAAAGAGTTCAAAAAACCTATTACAAACTCAATTAAAGCTTTCATCTTCCCAGACATAGAGTCACAACATTAGAAGTACATTTTTGAAAGAAAAAAAAAATTTACACTGCCAAATCCCAAATGGATCATACACCTTAATTGTCTGACATAAACCATCATTGCGTCATATTTCTATCATGAAGCGCCTGAGCTACCACCCTACCATCTCAATCTCCATAATTTCTGAAAAAAGTACTCTATTATCATCTAAACTGATAAATACGGAGTGAAACTTTTCACTTACTATGGATATGCCAATGTTAAAGAACTAGAAATCAGTTACTTATTGCACCTTCTAAGATAGCAGCATCAATTATAAAAAAAAATGTAGTCTTCATTGAGTCCGGTGGTTACTTGTCTCAACCTTCTCACCTGCACGGAATTCAATATTTTAAATTATTGAAGGTCTACTTTTATCGGGACGTTTGATGAAAATTAAACCATGGATGATCTCTGTAACTAGGAATATAAAAAACTGAATAAGAAATAGATAGATGCTTTCATGTGCCAACTCACTTACAATTTTTGATTAATTGAAGTTTGATCTTCTTGAGTACTATTAGAGCATCTTTCATGTTGATCCTCTCATGGGGTGATTCGGCTGAGCATTTCAAACCCAATTCCATGATGGATGATAGACACTGCATCTTTGCCGTATAGTTCTCTTCCTCTAGCCGTAGCAAGTTGGAATCTACAACGTGAATGATTGCATCAGGTAATGACTGATTTACCCAATCCTTCAGGCTCAGATCTCCAGCAAATAAATCATCAGTGGGTTTTCTTCTTGTAAATATTGCCATCAACACAATACCGTAACTGTAAACACCAGACCTTGTTGATACTGATCCTTCCAATCTATACTCGGCATCCAACATAATAATTAATAAAAATGAATTGATGTGTTTCGGTGAAATTGAAATTTTGATAAACTAAATTGAAATTTTGATATGAGAAAAAGAATACCATAACTAAGATTTGGACAAAAATTGAAAGCTAAAACCTTCACCTGGTGTAATATACCCAATTGTGGCTAGAGTCTTGGTTTGTGTAACGCTATCCCCCTGTTCTAAGAACTTTGCGATGCCAAAGTCACTTACATGTGCGACCATATCTTCGTCTAATAGAACATTGTTCGGTTTGAGGTCACAGTGAACCACACGTGTTGAGTAATCATGATGGAAATAGTCCAATGAACATGCCACATCTATCATGATGTTTAGTCTTTGCAAGATATCCAAGTAGTAGTTGTGAATATAACCACTTTTCTAGACTCCCATTAGGCATGTACTCAAGTATCAAGGTCTTAAAATCAAGGTTAGAGCAACTGCTAATGACTTTAGTGAGATTCCGGTGATGAATGTTGCGCAGAATTTCGCATTCTGTGTCAAAACTCTTGAAAGCGGCTTCTTGTTGCACATTGAATACCTTTACAGCCAAAATAGTCCCATCTATTAGTGTAGCTTTGTAAACTGAACCAAAACTCCCCATGCCAAGTAAATTGCTTTCACTAAACCCATTAGTTGCTCGCACAAGTTCATGGTATGAAATTCTTTCACGTATTAACCATGGGTATCAATTGGGTTCGAATTGGAATTTCATTTATCCACCATCGACTTCTTAGGCTAAAAATTAGAATTGTTGAGGCAAGAAGTACTAATGCGATAGGCAACAAAATACAAATCATTAATTTTTTCTTGGATTTTTGAAGAGAACTAATATAACAAGGCTGGACTTGGAACCGAGGAGCACCACACAATGCTTCATTTGACAAAAATAGATCGATTTGTGAAATTTGCAAAAGGTCCTCCAATCGGAATTTCTCCTCTTAATCTATTGAAAAATGCATTAAAATATTTAAGATGCAAGAGTGTCTCCAACGACTTAGGAATTTGACCGGACAAGTTGTTTTGGGAAAGATCCAAGAATTCCAAACTTACCATGTTGCCAAGTGGACTCTGGAATCGATCCTTGTAGTTTATTATGTGCAAAGGTAAGACTAGCCAAGTCTTGCAAACCTCCAATGGTGCTAGGAACATTACCTATGAATTTGATTCACCGATAGATCAAGTACCGTTGCTACCTTTAAATTTCCAATCGCTTGTGGTAGATATCCACTAAAAGAATTAGAGGACAAGTTGAACTGCAAAAGATTTTTGAGATTCCAAATGTTTTCAGGTATGCTGGAATTTAATCTATTGGAGTCCAAATACAGATATCTCAAGGAAGTAACATTCCCTAAGCATTCAGGTATGGTTCCAAACAATCTATTTTCACTCAAACCTAAGTCACCCAAGTTCAGCAAATGGCAAATCTCCTTTGGAATGGATCCATCTATTCTGTTGTCCTCAAGATGAAGTCGTTGTAACTTACTCAACCCTTTGATTGTTGTTGGAATAACCCCAGTCAAGTAGTTGCCAGATAGATATACGGACGCTAGGTTCCTTAAATTGCCAATCTCACTAGGAATATTGCCCTTAATTCCACAACCACTTGCAGAAATAGTTTCGAGAGAATCGGAGAGATTACCGATGGAGACCGGAAGAAATACGTTTAAAGGATTTTCATGTATCCACAATACTCTTAATTGTCTGCAATTGGTTAAGGAAGTGAGGAAGCTCAATTCTGGCAATGAGGGTTCACTAGTGAAATTGTTTCCTCCTAGGTGCAGAAATTGGAGGAGTCCTAAATTACCAAGTGAGCTGGGAATTGAACCTGTGAACCTATTAAAGGCAACGTCTAGATGAATGAGCTTAGAAGCATTTGAAATAGAATCAAGGATAGCTCCACTGAAGTTATTCATTCCAAGAAAAATATATTCAAGATTGGGTAGAGTCTGGCCAAAACTTGATGGAAAATTGCCCGAGAAGTGGTTGTCACTGAGTGAGATCGCTTGTACTGTTGAGATGTTGAACAACGTTGTTGGGATGCGTCCTGTTAGCTTATTCGAATCCAACACTATTCTTTCTAACATAGGGAGTTCGCCAATCTCTTGCGGTATCACACCTGCTAAGCCATGTAGAGGACAATGAAATGTAACTTTTATTCGTGGGAAGTATTGAGAATCACTGAATAAAGAAATAGCAAAAACTAAAAGATGAAGGAAGGAAGAAAGCAATAATCTAGTAACCCATCTCCCCCAAAGGGTAGGTCTGGTTTGTTTTTTTCCTTGGAATCACTATATTTATTACTCTAAACTTTATGAAAATATTAACTAATTTAGCATTTTCAAATTTAATCTATTTTGAGCCTGCCATGGTCTCTACCTACATTGTATGAAACCAATTGTCATTAATTAATTTATTTTTTTTTTCTTTTTTGTTTTCTTGGAATCACTATATTTATTACTCTAATCCTTTTGTTTGTAAGAAAACTCTTGAAATTGAAATTGGAGAAAAAGTGAAAAGAACCCTAGAACAACTCACCAAAGCTTGTAGACAATCTTCGAATGAAAAGTTGGATAACAACTTGCTTGAAAGAAATCAAGAGATACATGCTTGTTTTGTCTAAAAACAGTTTTAAAGAATTTAGTAAACATAAAATTGTTTTTTGATAACTAGAAAAGCAGTTATCTCTTAAAGTATACATTTTTTGTAGCTGAATTTTGAGAAAGTAAATTCTGAAAAACTAGGGCGGGTTAGGCGGGCTTGACACTCATCTTGGGCTAGGCCCATATAGAAAATCTTCAGCCTGAGTCGAGCTACTTAAGCCGAGCCCATACATAATTTGTCCAGCCCGAGCCCACACTAAGCTCACCTCAGAAAAATTTGTTCATTAAAAATAAATCAATTAATACTATACCGATAACTTGAACCGAAAACCTTAACCATAAATCTCAAACACACTACCAACTTGGCTAATACACTCTTGTGACTTAAGTATAATTATAAATATATATATGTATAATATTTTCGGGCCCAGCCTGAATTGAATTCAGGCTCAAAATATATAGCTCAGACCAAACCGAAATTAGAAAAACATTGCCCAAGGCCACAAAATTTTGGGCTCGACTTGGGTTATTTTGGGTTGGGCCCACCCGAGTTGCAACCCTATGAAAAACTAACAAGTTTCTATACATTTTCTAATTTTTAATTCTTTGAAAAAAAATAATTGAATAAAAATTACCTATAAAAATCCATTTGGAGAGTAGTATAAGTGGAGGAAAATGATCGACAACTTGTGCCTTCCCGACCCAAATATTGAATTCTCACTTGTAGACATAATTTATAAAGAAATTATTATTCCTCCCAATATAATTTATAAAAAATTTATTTTTATAAAAAAGGGAATGAAAAATCTCAGAGCCATGCACAAATGAAGCTATGCACCAACAAACCATTAAGCACACCCACAAGGACCTTGTAGGTACAAAAATAGGTCCTCTCCCACAAATGGAAAGTTTCCATATAATAAACGATCCCCCTCCCACTCTATTTCTTGTTTCTTTTATAGTGTCCCTTCATTGCCCTAATATTCTTCCCTTTATGCCCTTGTCTAGTTGTTAATGGGCCTTTTACATGGCGGTTGGCTTGACCCACGTGGAGAGGTAAGTTCAATTGGGATAGGTTTACATTTCTTGACCTATTGTTAGTGGCTCGACCCATCTCTCGGGCCGTCTTTCAATGTCCACACATGTGGGCATATTTGCCTTTCACCTCGTTTAATACTCCCTAATTTCGGAACACGGGTTGATCAAGTCCGCGCACAAAACCAGAGGATATCAAAACAATTAAAATATTTAACAAGCACAGAATACAAAGATGAATAGTAAAGAATAAATAAACCGCTGAAGAAAACTAATAAATAAATGTTACTTAATGATTCTCCAACAATTACAATTCGGAAATCCCATAACTCAAGGACCCCTTAAAACATTATCCAATAATCCAATACTATTTAAAAGTACACAAGATGAATAGACGAATGACAGTCTCACAGCTGCGGATCCTCAACCTCGAGACTGGAACCTCTAATAACCTGAAAAATAAATCGTGGGTTAAACCCTACGAGCAAGTTCACTCTACCAGGCCTCTGAAAACCAATAAGCAGATCATCTCTGATCAAAACCAAACCTAATAAAGTTTTAACTTTAATAAAGCACGATATACATGTCTATATCTAATTATATATACTATACTAATCACATCCATTAATAGGTTTATTAAATTTCCATACCTATTAAATAATTATTAAAATAATATTCATACCTAGACCAATCTACCATTTCATTTTATAAAAACTCCTTTGACCTTAATCCCATCCTAGTCAGTTGTTTAATCATTTAAACAACAAATTATAATAAAAGAAATACTCTATTTAATCCCAACCCGATAATGATTTTAATTGTTTAAATCACATATCCAAAACCCAAGTTTTGACAAATCATCCACGTCTTCCCCAATATTATTTTATTAATGTAAAATAATACACTAACCAGTAAGTACTAAACTATTCTCATTTAAGAATATCTAATCCTAATCCAATCCATACATACAACAACCATAGATGATATTTTAATCATCTAACACATAACAACGTAATTATGCTTTGGCAAATCAACCATGCCATTGTAAATATTTTTATTTATATATTGGCAATTCAACCATGCCTCCATAAGTATATTTATTTATACATTGGCAATTCAACCATGCCTCCGTGTATGTATATTTATACATTGGCAATTCAACCATGCCTCCACAGGTATATTTATTCATACATTTAATTAGCAATTCATCCATGCTTTCCATATATGTATTCTATTCATACAAATATTTAGGTAATATATTTAATCATTTGACAATTCATCCATGCCCACACTTTAACCATGAATTAACTTTAAAATTAACAATACGCTAAATCATACATAGCCATCACATGCATATTATACGCATATCATTAATTTAACAACCAGCCTATTAAGATATGCCAAATAAGAATGATAATATTAATCATCTTAAATGATTTATATATATATATACCTACACATATGTTATTTAATGTATATATGTGTTTAACACCTTCTTTAATAATCCTTGATTATTTAAAATCAATATACATACATACATACATATATATATATATATATATATATATATATATATATATATATTCATCCTTCCATACAACTCATAGACAAATTAAACTATATATACGCATATATAAATATATATATATATATATATGTATATATACCCACACACACTTCCCTCCATAATAAATTATTAATTTATTATATTTACACAAATTAATGCTACTAAATATGTCAGAAATAGTTTCCCCTAAATACTCCATACCGGTTTAAATAGTTTTCCGACACCGTCTCACTAAAACGTAAATATCTCTTATTAGGATGAGAATCTGATAATGAAATTGGTACCATTGGAAAGAGGACGAAAAATCCTTGAATTTGAGCTCAAGAATGACCCAATTTCGATTTAAAATGATTAAGTTATGACTGTTTAAATTTCGAATAACAAAACAGGAATAATAATATGTTGAGCTCAATGGTTACTGTGAGCGCAACCGCACTGGATTAAAGTATGACACGTGGCGTACTATGATTCACTGGTGCATCAACTCTGATGGTGCGCACCGCACCAGATCCTATTCCTTTGATCAGATCTAATCTAGGATCCCTTTATGCGGTGCACTGAGTCTCTATGGAACCGCAACACACCAAATCATCCTCCAATCATCAACTCCAACTCAATGGCCCAGATCAGTTTACCCACCAACTTACTGTATGCCGCGCCACATAGGATTATGATACCTTGTTCATACGCCGATACATAAGCCGTATATATAAAATATATAAATAGGGTATATATATATATTTCAAATAAATAAAGAAAATAAATCTAATAAATTCCTTTAAAAAAATAGAAAAATACCAGAAAAATTCCAGAAAATTACAGAAAATTCCCATAAATTCTAGAAACACTAATTAACCCTCTTGGGTCTAGATCTAGCCTATTGATTGATGTAAACAAAATATACAACAATAAAAATCCAAAATTCAAAAAAATAAAATATAATAATTCATATTTTAAATATTCCGTTCTAACCATCATTTAATCAATAAATTTAACCTTAAATTTTGATACTTAACATGAAATCCTTATGAGTTCTAAGAGGAAAGTTAGAGAAAACTCGCCTGAAGGTTTCGAAACGAAACCGACGCTTTAAGCTTTAATTATCTCTTCCAATTTCGACGTCCTCCTTTTCAGATCCGACCTCCTCCTTGTCAGCCCTTCTTCTTCCTCTCTCTCTGTCTGTTTTATTTTTCTAACGTGTAAAACCTTTAACCCTAAAGCCTTATATGTATTTTTATACACCTTAAATTCCAAATCCTATTCCAACTAGTATTATGAATTAAAATAATAATCTTTAAATAATTTATATCTATAAACATATATATATATATATATATATATAAATATATATTCCTTCCATAATTAACTCATTAGTTACTTAAATCATATATACTTATAAATATCAATAAATATATATCTATATATATATCTTTCCATAACAATTATTAATTAATTATATATATATATATATATATATATATATATATATATATATATATATAAATATAATTGATACAAAAGTGATCATTTAAATAATTAAATAACCACGGACCTTCATTAATTAACCCAATAAGGTTTCATACAAGCCCAAGACCACATCTTTTGGTCCAACTTTCCTTAAGCCCAATCCAATTAATTTAAATAAATAAGATAATTAATTAAATACAGAAATTAAAATAACTAATTACATGAAGCACATAAACAAACAAGAATTTACAATTAAGTCATATAATACCAATAAAATCAACACACCAATAATTCAATCAATAATCAACCACACAAACAATCAATCATCATACATAATCACGAAATATAACTTAATTAAAATAAGATAATTAATCTAGCACTCAATAAAATAAAATAAATCATTGAAAAATAAAAT